GTGGCTGGCGCCTTAGCCGGTTGAGCTATAGGTGCCGAGCCTGAAGTGACATCTTAAAGAGTGTTTCTAGCATATCTATAGCCTGAGCAAGTTAGGTATAAAAGAGAACAGCTTGGAACCTTTAAGAAGACTGAACGTGGGGCGGCGCCTGTGGCTCAAAGGAGTAGGGTGCCAGAGGTGGCAGGTTTGAACCCAGCCCCAGCCAAAAACTGCAAAAAGAAGAAGAAGACTGAACGTGTGTGGGCAATGTGTATATTTTATCTCCACTCAGGATAACTTTATACGGCCACACTCATGCTTACACCTGGATCACCCCCCAAAATTAAATATACTTAATTTTGAGAGAAATTCTCAGAGACAGTTCCACACCCTCTGCTGATTATAAGTCCCAGGAGCGCATGAAATTTACTAAAGTTGTTAATTTTTCTTTTTTCTATCTCTCTCTCTCACTCTGCCACCCAGACTGGAGTGCAATGGCACAATCACAGCTTACTGTAACCTCAATTCCTGGGCTCAAGTCATCCTTAAGTTTCCTGAGTAGCTGGGACAATAAGTACATACCTCATCCCCAACTAATTTTTGTATTTTTTGTAGAGATGTGGTTTTGCCATATTGCCCTGCCTGATTTTGAACTTCTGTCCTCAAACAATCCTCCTGCCCCAGCCTCCCAAAGTTCTGGGATTATAGGCATGAGCCACCACCCCTTGCCAAAGTTAAATTTTTAAGTAATATCTATCAATCTGCAGGAAAGCCTTATACAAAATGGAAAAGGCATCTGGTAAAATATTAATAAACTAAATTCATTAAACTTTTAAACATTTATAATGACTAAAATCTATAGTTTAGGGATTTTTTTTTTCAATTTTAAGTTTTATTAAAGTAGAGCTAACAACTTTTGAGTTTTTTCCATAGAAAAGATTAGTCAATTCAGATGACTTTTAGAAAATGTAACATTAAAAAAACACATATAATACCATAATTGGTATTGTGACTAAAGGGGAAAGATAACTATTTTGAAAGTTAACAGGCTCAGCGCCCATGGCTCAACCGGCTAAGGCGCCAGCCACGTACACCTAAGGTGGCGGGTTCGA